GGATATTTTTTTTATTCTCATGTAACAATAATATAAATTAATATATATATATATATAAATTTGTACATATAAACTCATTAGAGTTAAAAGTAATATTTAAAAAATTACTCCCTATAATTGATTTGTCAAGGATAGATAAGTGATGACATCTTATTGGTCCAACTCATAAGAGGCACCAAAATATGTTAATTAAAATATTCATAGAATTAATAGCCTTAAAAAAAAGCATAAAATTATATTGAGGAGTCTTCAAATTCAAACATGTTAACAGTACATTATGGTTGTGTTTGGATTGAAGGATGGATTTGGGTATGGGTGACAAAACGGGTCAGCCCGTCCCATTTTGGCCCGCCAAAAACGGGCCGGGCCGGGCTGGCCTGCCGATGAAAAACGGGCTAAAAATGCTGGCCCGCCCTGCCTAAGGATGGGTTGGCGGGCCGGCGGGCCAGCCCGCATACCCAAAAAATAATTTGCAAAAAAATGGAAAAAAAATAGTCCATGTTTCCTTTGATTCCAGCTATCATTAAAATGGCAGTTAGTGTCATTATATTCAAATCTTGCATTGAATTTTTTTGAAGAACTTCTTATCATTATATTCACTGTCGCATCATTGGAAAATTAGAAAAAAATAGAAATGGTAATAACAATGAAGGTGCTCTTCGGTGGCTCCGTGGCTGGAATGAAATTAATTTAGGATTTTGGTTGAAACCTGAAACGGATTCTCCTAAAGCCCAATTTAAGTGCTCTTCGGTGTTCTTTACGTGTTGGGCCTAATTTTTTATTTATATAAAGCCTATTATTTTATTTATACTAAAAGCCCAATCATTAAATCACCTATGCGGGCTGACGGGTTGTGACGGGCCAGCCCGCTATTTGGCCCGCCGGGTTGGCAGGCTTGGCGGGCTAAAACGATGGGCCCGGCCCGCGGGCCACGACCCATTTTGCCATCCCTAGATTTGGGGGAGTGGAAAAGGAAAGATTTGAAGAGAAAGAGAGTCGAAAGTGAGGTTGTTTGGATTAAGGGAAACATAGTGGAAAGTGAGTGGAAAGTTTGTGAGAATTTGTGTAGAAATTGATTGATGCGATAGATAAAAATTAAAAATTTAATAGATTAATATGTAATTTACACTTTTACCCTGGATTAAAAATGAGTAAAATATTATTTATTGTAAATAATAATAATTACAATAAAATTATATTAATAGGTATAATTTATTAAAAAATATTAAATAATGATAATAATAATAATAAATATTAGAAAAATAATAAGAATCATAATAAATAATAATAATAGTAATTATAATAAATAATAATAATATTAATAATAATCATAATAATAATAATATTTATAATAATAAATAATAATAACAAAATATATTATGATAATTATATTTTCTAACATTATTTTATTAATGTTTATGAAAGTGTTATTATTTTAATTTTATAAACATGTATTACTTTATTTTTTTATATATTTTCACTTTTTGATGTCAATATTTAAATAATAGAATTTTCTTAATATAAAAAAATGTACAATAAATTTTTTGAAAGTTAATTAATAAATTAAAAAAATTGATAAATCATTGACATAAATTAGAATGAAATGAAGATACATTTGTTAATTGTACAAGTTAATTTTTACCAATTAAAAAATTAAGAAACTTTTAACATTACAAAGTAGATGGGTAATAACATATTTGTAAAATGGAACAGAAAATACAATTCAGTCATCAATTAAGTAAACAATAATTAAATATGACATAAAATAATAGAGATGAAAAATGTTGCAACTAAATAAAATATATTTAAATTACAATAATAAAAAAGAAAATAAGATAATATATTTTTGCATTTTTACCCATAACAGCCAATTTGGAATGGCCCGTTCTCAACTAGGGTTTTTAAGCCAATTTAGTAATTTGAAACGGCCCGTTCCAATTTGGGAACGGCCCGTTCTAGGCTACTAAATTATCCTTGTTTAGTAGTTTGGAACGGCCCGTTCTGGGCTACTAACTACGTTACACGACTAAAAGCAAAAATATGTCACCATAATCGATTATGTATGACACATAATCGATTATGTTGCTGGGTATTATCAGGTTTTCTCATTTATTACGTGGCTTTCATCTCTTTTCTTCACAAATTCATTAGCGGAAACGTAAAAAATTTTCACATTTTATTCGTCGTGAACACTAAATCACTTGAAATAAACATGGGCTATATCTTGAAGACTTCAACTATCAAATGATGGTTCGTTGGCGCAACCAATAAGGAAAAAATAGTCATTAAAACTGCGATTCTCTTGGGAGCACAAAGTTTTGTCTCACGGTAAGACTGTAAGCGTCTATCTTTCAAAGTTTGATTTTCTTTTCAATAAGAATACTCTAAATATTGCTTCTTTCTCATGCCTTTCTGATTCTGATGTACTATATATGAATTTCTCGAAAGCTCAAAGTATTTATTCGAGGATTCTGTGCACTGGTTTGTCTTATGTTTTCTTTCAACTTATGCTATGTATGTCCGTGTGTGACGGTAAAGGGAAGCACATACGTTGTTGGTGCAAATTCATTACTATGCGTACTAATTTTGCTGGAAACGTGTGATGGTAGGTACACTATTTAAATTATGTTAAAAGGTAGAATTGGCTATTCAATGTAAACGACCCTTCATATATTTCTTGCTTTTGCTCCAAATCTCAAGTCCGTCTGTCACAAATTTGTGTCAGTCCTGAGAAATACGTCCAAAGTTACCAAATATACTGGACTATCAATTTTCTTTTCAGACATTGATCATATGTAGATACTTTTATATATAAATACTTCTACTTCTATATATTAATCACTCTAACACTTATTTTATTTTTCTTTCTATTATATTGTATATCATTTACCATTTTTTTTTAATAAAATTATCTTATACTATTTTCCTCGTCTCGCAATGTTTTGAATAGAGTTTGAAGGGAAGAATGTTAGGTAGGCAAAACAGTGATTCCCCGCATGGGCCTCGTTAATATGATTAAGTTTAAGGGCCTAAAATACCCATTACACAGTTCATTGAGACACAAATGATGTGTGTATAGGTTAAAGAAAAGTTTGCTGAAACTTAGGTTTTAGACTTGTTAAAAAGATAGAGGATTGCTATATCCTCCGACGGAAACATGGTCCAAAATTTTAAAATATTAATATTTTATAATAAATTTATTATTAAATAATTATTTAATTTAATATTTTATAATTTAAGTTAATTTTTTAAACTTTCGGAATATATTTCGGACAATTCATTCGGAGGATGAAGAATTTTTCAAAAAAATATGCTATTAAATCTTATAAAGTAAAATGCTGTATATATCTAGAAAAAAAACTTAATATATGTTTTTTTTATTTAAGAAAATCTCAAATTTTGATATCATAAGTCATATTTATATTTACAAGGAATAAAGACGTGAATGACATATGACACGCATTTTTAAATATATGTTTTTGTAATAATATTATAAAATAATTGTCATATAATAACATATTTTTTTTAATAATATAATATTTATCATTAAAAATTATTTTTACTTACATTATAAATATAATATATGTTAATATATTATTAAAAAATATAAATATAAATTATAGTGACATATTATATATTATTAAATATCATTCAAAATTATTAAAACTGTGTAACAATAGACTTATACATATACAAATATTATATTTATAATAATATTTTTTTTATATGTTATTATATAACATTTTTTATAGTAACAATTACAATATTACCGATAAATGATGTGTAATATTAAATTCTTCCGTTCATTTGAAGGAACCATGATATTTTAAATTGAAATTCTAAATACCTATATATGGTTTTCTTTTAATGCATAAACAAGTTAATTCATAAATTCGTGCTTTATGAGTTTGCGAATCCATTATTCTTGCAGCTTCAAGTATTCTACCGTACTTGCTTGACAACGTACTACAACTTTTCCTTTTGAAATAATATATGTATAGAGCTGAACAATTGAAAACATGAATATAAATTTTTCAGTGAGACTACATTTCAATTTTGTATATCTACAAGTTGTATTAAAACAACACAACCAAACACTACCATCTCCAACATAGCTCTCAAAAATCTCGCTCACTCTTTAATTTAATCTTACCTTATTCCCTTAAAAAGATAATCATCATAATTCAATAATAAAAAAATATAAAAATAATCATCATAATTCAATAATAAAAAATATAAAAATAAGCTCGTAAACAACAAAACAACACATAATATAGAAATAAGATACAATTAATTTGAATAAAAAAAATATTCATTACTAGTGACAATAAAGAATAAGATAAAAAATCACTTTTACTCTCCACACAATTGGCAAAATACTTCTTCCATAGTAATTGTGTATAGTTGGTTCAACAAGGTAGTCAAACTTGAGGAATGATGAAAGAAAGTTGATTAATTTATTTTAACATTAAATTTAAATTTTTTTTACAAAAATATATTTAATATTAATGAGATTCTTATTCAAGTAACTACTAATTTAATTAAAAGAAGTGATTTTTTTATTTATGAAAATGGTGCGTATAATGTTTTAAAACTAAATATTAAAGACTAATTTGTACTTGTAAAATATAATTTTTATTAATTAAATATTATTTTAATATAGATGAGAATTGATTCTAGAAATACTAGATCGACTTTTCTAAAAACAAGCCTTATAACTATTTGAACAAGAAATTTGATTTAAAAAAATGATTTTAATTAATATAAAAATATTTATCCTAAAAGTAATTAATGCAACATATATTTTAAATTCTTATAAAAACCGCTGAATAATGATATTGATTTGAGTATTATAAAAAAGTAGTGTGAATAATAATTTATAATAATTTTTTTAATGAAAAAGAAATAAGAAATTTGTTAAAGAAGATAAAGTAAGACGACAAAATAAAAAAAAGGCAACGGAAAGATAATTGGTTGGTGTATATCGAAGTTTATCCCAATTGACACCACATATTGTTAATGTTCTTCTCTCATTTCAATATCTTATCACATCGTCACATCTAACTTGCTTTCCTTCAATGGAGTCGGCGAGTGTGATTAAAGCATCCTTCCCAATTTTCAGGAGCAACCCATTTTCCCTCTCAACAAGACTTCTTAGTCTTAGACCCTTCAATGTTTCCGTCAAACCCCCACCCCCTGATTTCGATTACAGGAGAGAGATGTCCGAGGAATCCAGAGCCGCCATAGCTGAATCTCACCCTCAGTTGCTCGACTTGGCTGACAACGGAACCTTGGTTTTGGTCCAAAAGAAAAGCTTTGGTCCTGTCCCTCCTTGGAGAACCCAATTCGTCGAACCTGAATCCATTTGGTTGCTAGGAACTACTCATGTTTCTGAGGATTCGGCTTTGCAAGTAGAACGTGTGGTGCGGGCTCTCAAGCCAGATAATGTTGTTGTTGAACTCTGCAGAAGCAGGTAAAAACAAATTGGAAATTATCATATTGTTTCAGTTATATCAACAAAAGTATTATCATGTTCGATTAGTTTACACTTTTATCATTGTAATTGTTAAAATTATCAAATGCTAGTTTTATTTATTTATATATATATATATATATATATATATATATAATTTTAATAATTAAGATAATCATTATTTAGTTATGTTAGGAAGTTTGGGTACGGTATGTGATAAGGTTCGAATTATAATTTTTACGGATAAAAAAATTAAAATTATTGTTATTTATATAATAGTTTTATGAGAAAAAAAAATATTTCTAAACATGTGATTTTTGAATGATTTCGGCGGATTATTTTTACTCGTTTATATATATAAAGCAATAATTTTCTTTAGTGCCCCTGTTGAAATAAGGACTAGAAGTTAAAGGGAATACCACATTGCCATTCAGTTTTCACTTCACATAACTTACCTCTTAGGGGTCTACATTTAAGAATAATTAACATACAAATTGGGGAAATGAAGAAGAAATAAGCCTTACAATTTTCATGTTTTTATTAAGCCTCACACAGAATGTTATTAACTTCATCTCTACTAAAAAAATTCTAATAAAAACATTAATTTAACAAGAAATAAATTGTATAAAAAATTATATTTTTCTTTCTACTCTTAAAATCTTGTTTAATCTAAAACATTTAGAATAAATTAATGAAACAGTCTTTGTGAGTGTCCTGAGAACACAAAATCATACATATCGCATGCATAAGGCAAATAGTTTTTGACATGTATTTTTGCATTCATCATGGCATTTAGGCATTCTTTTCCTTCATAAGGCATAATCTTTCAGACATATAGAGGCTTACCTCTAAACATGAGTCCACCTAACATAGATTTCTATGAAACATTGTGCCTAATTACTTAGAATGCATTATCTTTTCTTTTGTTCTCTATTGGCAAATTTGAGCTAATAATATCAATGAGGACATGTTTTCCTCGTTTTTGTCATATATCTCTTCAGGATTTAAAATGTTTATTATCCTTCATTCTCATCTAAGAAATGTAATATATTACTCTTTGGAAATTTAAAGGAAATAGATGCTATTGTTTGTCCAAAAGTCATTTCAAATTTGAAGGGAGTCATTACTACCCTTCCATGTTCAAAAGACATTCTTTCATTTATACCTTTTATCATTTTTTAAAGATAAATTGAGTTAGTACCTTTCTTTCCAAAGACAACCTGTCAACATTGCATTTCATTCATATATTATATATAAGAATAATAGGGATTCAAAAATAAAATAAAAATTTATTTTCTATACTTATATTTTCATTTAGGCATAGAGACAAGTATCATATGCGTAAGGATATAATCCATTCAGTTAATGGTGGTAGTACATAATATACATATAGGCAAGTAGATTCTAAGTAAACAAAAAAATATCTATAATTTGAATTTTAATAAATTATAGGTAAGATACAATATATCTAATTTGAATTTAAATAAGCCTTAAAATAAAAAATCTAAATCCAAATATAAGTTAAAATATCTACAATTTAAATTTAAGTAAATCTTAAGATAAGATATGTATAATTTAAATATATATATATGTAAATCCTAATACAAGTACAATTTGAATTTAAGTACTTAAATCCTAAAAATAAGATATGATATTTACAACTTAAATTTAAATAAGGCCTAAGAGCAGTTATTTGATTCTTAAATACCATAATATTTCCTTTGAACCGAACAATCAAACATTTATGTCAAACACTTGTCAATATTTAAATATGGATATGGATGATGCAAAACTATTAAAGGTGTGTTTGAATACTCGTCCACACACATTCCCATGCACTCAAACGGAAAAGTATAAGTGTGGATATATAGAGTTGAACGTACGTTTGACTTTTCTAAATGATAAAACAAATATGCACTAAGATACCATAACAATTACATCATAAATTATGAGAAAGTGGAAAATTTGTGAAGGAAACATACAATATAATGAATAATTTTTTCTTAAAATTTAACATTTTAAATATAAACTAAACATTTTTTTTATTTTACTTGAATTTATTTGTGCGTTTGACTGGAATAAATGCTACATGTAAAAAATAATGTGTCATCCAAACTATCTTAAATGTCATGTAAAAAATAAATTTATAAAAAAAATAATGATAAAAATAAAACACAATATTAAATATAAAACAGATATATTTTGACACAAGAGTTTCTCATTGCTTAGTTGTAAATAATTGTTATTTATTAAATAACTGTGTGATGTCACTTATCAATGTTTGTAACTATGTGAAAGCAGAAGTATTTGAGGGTAATTAAAAGCAAGAGTATTCTCACAATGACATGACTAAACTACTAGAAGAGAAAAATCTAAAAAAAGGAAAATCTAGGAACTAGGAAACTATGTTGAAAAAGAGAACGTTAATGATGGTTCACCTGTTGGTGTTAATATTGTGGTATTCTTAATTATAATTATGAGATATATATAGAGGAATATGTAAATTTAACCCAATTTTATATTTTTAGTAATTTTTTATATGATCTAAATTTAATCGATTTAAGGGTTAAATTATATATTATGTTTAAAATTATGTATATCAATTTTATATGACTTGTTTAGATATATTATGTAGAAATTAATATTTACACATATTTTAAATATCATATTATATATTAAAATAAAGTAATGTGATGAATTATTAAAGAATTTTAGAATAATGTGAAATTTGATATATATGTATATATATATATATGTATATGTATGTGTGTGTATATGTATATGAAGAAGATTATACAAGTATTACACTATTCAATAACTTTATATTAAAAGTAAATTTTGTAAATATTGAAAGTTCATATCACTTTATACATAAATATACACTAATAATTTATGTGTCACCCCCACTAAATTATATGTCTACCACTGATTAATATAATAGATATGAATGTGTGTAAACTTATAGAGAAGATAAAAAAAAACTAATATACGTAAACTTTTTCGGTCTATCTAATTTTAATATTGCATTTTTGCATTTAAGGGAGAGATTTTTAGGTATCTAAACATTCTATTTTGTTTCTTCTACTACTGGAAATCACATCTTATATAATGTTCTCATTAGTAGTCTCGTGTTAATAAATTGTTTTGTGTCTTTTCCAGAAAAAAAAAAAAAGAAGTCATATTTTCCTCCTCTCTCCTTCTTTTGTTTATAGATCCTATTTTATTTTTCTAATTAAAAGTGTAAATCTTTAATTCTCTCTCTACATATAACTGTCAAAATTGTTTATCATCAATCCACATCTTAACTTCAATTGCCACAGATTTGATTTCTAGAGCTGGGATCATGTATGCTGCTGCGAATGATGAGCTTGGCAAACAGATGCGTTCTAATATGTTCTCCTTAAGCGGCACTGGTTTCTTTGGAGCTGTTGGTCGTAGCATAAACCTAGGTAAGCTCATAGTTTTTGACATGCATGTGTAACATCTATTTATAAAATCAGGAATTTATTTACTATTTATTTCCTAAATATCAGGTGGTCAAACTGCTTTGGCATTACGGTTACTTTTGGCTGCTTTTTCATCGAAGATCTCTTCAGATATTAACCGTCCTTTTGGTGATGAGGTAATTCAAGGCACGTGCTATAGATTTTGTGTACTTGGAAAGTAGAACTTGTTTTGACAAGAGAAATATCTATAATACAGTTCCGTGCAGCTCGAAAAGCTTCCGAGGAAGTTGGTGCACAAATAGTTTTAGGAGATCGGCCAATTGAAATAACGGTATGTACATATTATGTTACATCATGCGCAACACAGATGAATGTAATTCTTTTAAGGGAATAAATAGCGTAACAATTGTTTGAGATTTTGATCTGCCATATATACTCTACTTGTTAGTTAGATGTGCTAACTAGTTATTGTTAATTAGTTCATGTGGTCTATACTTGGCGTCAATATTTGTGATGTAACTGCATGCCTGTTATGAGGTGCATTCCTGTACCACAAATTGCACTCTTTTGATGGCGTATTTACATATTATGTTGGGAAAATCCCCTTGCACACAACAATGAGTACCGTAGGATAAAACATGGAAATATAGTGAAAGACACGAATATAACTTAGTTTGGGAACTTCGATCTCAACAAATATTCATTACTAATACAAATAAAATTACAATTTTTTTTTATAAATTTGAAAGAAAAAAAAAACCTCACTTTTACAAGTTTTGAAGACAAACTTGATAAACTTTTTCATTATAAGTTTTCTGGACAAATTTCAAAAATCTGCTCATTACATTACTGGCTCTCTCACTTTGATGGTGACCCTCTCTTTATGTTAGTTGATTTTTCTGGTCTCATAAGGACCTTTTTATACATACGGTGGTCGTTCATGACCATATTCGTAAATACAGTTTATTGGATTTTAATTGTCTCACAAAGGGATACTCCATCATACTAGACTAGAAACCCTTAGCAGAATGGTTGTGGAGTGTAACTATCAACATATTTTTGAATTGTTCTTAAAGCCTAATCCAACTTAAACAAGTTCTTTTAGGTGCTATATATATTAATGTCTTGCATGAAACTTACCTCATTAATAAAATACCCCCATTCCTATTTTTTTAATATCGATCTCCATTTGAACTTTTGCTTGGCCACCCACTAGATCTTAATGGTACTGTAAGTCTTTGAATCTATATGCTATATATGCCTCCACATTACTTGTTCAAAGTTTACCTTGAGCTTGTGAGTTTCTCTGAAGTTTATGTAGGTCAAAAAAGGATTTATTGTTTACGATATATTCTCATAAAAAACTTTGGTCTCACGAAATCTCAACTTTCAGGAACTTCCATACAATCCTTGTCTTGCTTCAGATACTACTGATTAGGATTAATTATTTATCTATTGTTAATTAGTTTGTTCACATGATTTACAACAAGTATCGTTATCTTATGCAACAGCGTGTTAGTTATAACTTTACCTGGTGCACTCTTGTACATATAAAAATGCATTAATTATCTGCTGATGGAATTGGATGCTATAGCGTACATTGGTACATACTCTTGTAATCATTTTTCCTCTTCCTCGATTAGAATCTCTAGAATTTGATGTATTGATTTCAAACTTTGCGGCGGGAAAAAATTAAATAAACCTATGTGATGGATGGTTAAAAAATCATTCTTTCCTTAATTATATTATGTTTTGCAGCTTCAAAGAGCATGGAAGGCTATGAAATGGACTGAGAAACTAAATTTAGTATTATCAATTATTCGTGGGATATCATCTTCGTCTAACATTTCTGTAAATAAGCTCAAGGTTGGTTCTTTAATTAAGATATTACAACCTTATTTGTATTTTTTTTTTCCATGCTAAATCATATGCTTTTATATACTTATTGAATGGGAAAAGGAGGGACTTTGACATTGTCCTTTGTACGTAGATAATTAACTATCTTCTTGAAATAATATATGATGTAATATAAAAAAGAAAAAAGTTATTTTAAGGATGTTTATTTCATCTACATCAGTTTTCTACATTTGCCTTCTGTTTTGGTTTTGTAGTTGTGGAGGGATACACATAGGTTTGGTAAACTGTTTATTTATTTTTCATTTCTTCTATTAAATAAAAATTGAGTCATTACTCGGTCAAATTGGTAAGCTTGCTATTTTGAGCCAGACACTTGATGTAATGATAAATATATGCATACATACAATTGAAACTAGTATTTTGATAACACACAGAAGGAGCCACGTCATCTTATTTTATTTAGCCATCTCAATTTGTATTTAATTATTCAATTTGCAGGATATTATATTACGTGTATTCTTTTTTTTACTTCTCTCTTACTGTACAAATCTTTTTCTATTTAATAAACCTGCTCATTTTTTTGTTGGGAAAAGAAGCCTTCAAACAGCGGAAGCATACACAATAAGAGAAAAACAAACTCAACAAATTATTTCTCTCCACTTACAATTTTTACAAGGACAAGATTGCAAACCCTCTCATCACAAGTTTTCTGGAAAAACTTGGAAACCTTCATACGCAAGTTTTCTGGAAAAACTTGAAAACCCTCAATACACCCATTGGAACCTATGTTGTTGTGGTGAGTAGACTCAAAACTATCACTCCTTATTTATAGTAGTAGTCTACCACTTCTCTTCTTCAAACTACCCAATGTGGGACTTTGGAGGATACCCACACACATTGGGCACAACAAATCCTCCCTTCATCCAAAGTCTCACATTAATCACAAGTTTTCTGGCGAAGCTTGGAAACCCTCCTTCACAAGTTTTCCTGGCGAAACTTGAAAACCCTTTCCCACAAGTTTTCTGGCAAAACTTGGAAACCCTCTCTTCACAAGTTTTACTTCACAAGTTTTATGGGTGAAACTTGAAAACTCCTTCCCACAAATTTTCTGGCGAAACTTGGAAACCCATCTCTTCACAAGTTTTATGGGTGAAACTTGAAAACTCCTTCCCACAAATTTTCTGGCGAAACTTGGAAACCCATCTCTTCACAAGTTTTATGGGTGAAACTTGAAAACTCCTTCCCACAATTTTTCTGGCGAAACTTGGAAACCCATCTTCATATGACCTACACTGCTCCACCATTGAGCCAGTCACCCGATCAAACCATCGGCTCTGATACCACTGTTGGGAAAAGAAGCCTTCAAACAGCGGAAGCACACACAATAAGAGAAAAACAAACTCAACAAATTATTTCTCTCAACTTACAATTTTTACAAGGACAAAATTGCAAACCCTCTCATCACAAGTTTTCTGGAAAAACTTGGAAACCTTCATACACAAATTTTCTGGAAAAACTTGAAAACCCTCTCATGACACACAACTACCCAAGTCCCTAATACACCCATTGGAACCTATGTTGTTGTGGTGAGTAGACTCAAAACTATCACCCCTTATTTATAGTAGTAGTCTACCACTTCTCTTCTTCAAACTACCCAATGTGGGACTTTGGAGGATACCCACACACATTGGGCACAACATTTTCTTATTGGGTTTAATCACACCTTTTTCTTGAATGTCTACATATTTCACTATACTGTTTTTTAGCAAGTGTTTATAGAGTGTATTCTTAGTAAATGAACCATACAATGTAAGGGGATGCAGGATCTCTCTTTTTTCCACACAAAATTTTGTAAGGAGGTGAAAAAAGAAGTGAAGGGAATGAATAGTGTGTTTGCGAGTGTTGTAAGAGATAGAGAGATGCATAATTAATTATGATATTCATAAATAAAAAAATATGCCAATGTTCGTCATAGCAGTTATTTGAAAAATTGAAGAGTCAAATATTGTTAGTTGCAGGAAGCAAGTCAGAATGATGGTCCATTTCAGCTTTATGAGCAACTCAGTTTTTCATATCCTTCCTTACTGTCACCTCTCATACATGAACGAGATACTGTAAGTCTTTCTCTTTTCAATTTCACTTGAATGCATGTTTTCCCATTTGATTCCTTCAAAAAGGAAAAAAATAAATATGTAAAATCATTATAGTATTTAAAATGTTTTTAAAGCTCATTTTAAAAGTTGGTTTAGGTATATAGATAAATGTTGGGCCATCTCAATGAAGAAGTTCTTTCATAAATAAATATCTTTCATTCAAATATTGTCGAGGAATGAGGTTGCATGTATATTATTATGTACAATTACAATATCCTTTTGCATGTGATTGGTCTAACAAATACAAGTGAAGAATGGTGATATTTGCAGTATCTTGCATGGTCATTGAAGCGGAGCAAAGCTGTGAATAACAGTAAAAGTGTGGTGGGTGTGATTGGGAAAGGGCATATGAACGGTGTAATATATGCATTGTTATCTGACACGGGGAATTTGAGGTTTCGAGATCTAGTAGGGAAAAAATCATATGATGGAGGTTCTAGCGGTTGGATAGATGGCTTAATCAAGAGTTTAGTGAGAGACACTGTCATTGGCATCTTCTTATGGGCCTTATATGAATTAATAAATGGAGGAACGTAAATCAAGCCCATTTATGTTTTTCAGTTTCGTTAGAAATTCTAAGATATATATATATATTGTAAGAGATTCTGGAGCATTAAGAAATGGAGCAATAGATATGGACCAATATTTTAGTATTAGATATACATCATATACCTTGTATAAAGTAGGTGTGATTATTGTTCACTTTCTTTCTTTTAATAAAGAAATAGAGAAATTAATAGAAGAAGAAAAAAAAAAGGAGTGGTGTTAGATTGATTGATGTAAGTGATATTATGTACCAATAATATTTTTCATTGGTTAAATGTAAAGTATGAAAAATTTATGATTTATATTATAAATTAAATATATTATTGAGTCCACTAAACTGTAACTGATATTATCTACCAATAATATTTTTCATTGGTTAAATGTAAAGTATGAAAAATTTATGATTTATATTATAAATTAAATATATTATTGAGTCCACTAAACTGTAACTGATATTATCTACCAATAATATTTTTCATTGGTTAAATGTAAAGTATGAAAAATTTATGATTTATGTTATAGATTAAATATATTATTAAGTCCATTAAAATGAAGAAGTTTTAATTTTAATTATTATTAAAAAAAATATTTTTCATCTTTCTAAAATTTAGATTTAAAATTATTGTTTTTGTTTTTTTTTTAAATAAGTGAATTTATAGTTTGATCCTTGTATAAACTTTTTTATTTTCAATTTTCCAAAATTTAAAATCTATATTTTTTTCCTTGACATTTATTTTAAGATAAATGATGATCATTTTTTTTTAATTTATAATTACAATAATGACATTAGAATTCGAATTTAGAATTATAATAATAGTATCCTAATTTGAATGTAAAATTTTAAAATAAGTGAATTTATAGTTTGATCCTTGTGCATATTAGGCGGACGTTAGAGTTTGAACTTAGAAACCTACGTATATTACCTCAATACCTTGACTTTAATGGTTCTATAATGGTCGCTTAGTTACATGTAGTCATGTACATATGATAAGTCTTGAGTGACATATAATAGGGGGAAAAAAAACAATTTTATGTTTTAAAAAATGAGAACTAAAGAAAAAAAATTATAATGGCTAAAATCAAGTTTTTCTTATTCTACAATGATTAAAAAATATTTTTTTTTATTAGAAGAAATATAATAATAATAACACAATTTGAACCAAACAATCTGTATATTATCTCAAATCTTTGAATTTTACCACTAAAAACATATTTTAACTTTATATTATGTATATAATATATTTTTTTATATTTCTTTCTTCATCGAATTATCTTATCACACATTTCTTTCATATTTCTCATATAAAAAAATATACAAAACTTAGGCTCTCACATCTTATTTAATTCTCCATTTTAAGGTGTCACATAAAACCATTCAAACTTCTCATCACTATATAAGTTTTATCAAGTTCTCTATCATTTATTTAATTTGGTAGAAATATGTTACTAATAAAATTATTATCACAAAATATATGTATAATTTTTCAATAACTCATTGGTTCAAGTGCAACTGAACTCAGACTCTTTTAATCGAAGTTTTGAGTTTGAGTTTTGTAAATAACAAAAATGTGTTTAAGAGAGAAGACTCTACTAAACTTTGTCTGTCATATTTTTTGATAAAACTTAATTATCAACAAAAATGGTAGATAATTTTCATAAATAATATGGTAAATACTTTATAAAATATTATATACAATATCCAATCTCATTCACAAATATATGTAAAAAAATTGTTAGTACAAGTAATTCGTCACTTATGTTTCCTAACTATTTATCAGGTTGGATCCTTACTTTGGATATAAAGATGTGAGAATAAGCAAGCTACAACAAGTAAACAAGATGTGAGAGTAATAGAGGGAGTGAGGAAGAAAATTCTCAAATTCTCTCTTTTTAGTTGAATTTTTTTTTTTTTACTTTTAATTTACTAAATTTCTCTTTTAAAATAATCAAAAATTTAAATTCTCTCCAACAAGTATCCAAATACTAAAATTTACCATCATTTTTTAAAATTACTTTCCCCTTTTAAAATTTTCCACCTAAGTTAGTGATTGAGATAGTATATATAAGAAGAAAAAAGAAGTGGTGCCCGATACTAGAAGTAGCCTCCTACAAAGAGGTATGGTGGTAGATGGTGGTTGGTAGAGGAAAAGGTAAAAATGATACACTATGAATTGCACATGATAATAAAATAGTTGTTAGATTAATATTGGGTACAAAAATGATGGTGCACCACCTGTTGTCTCATATGTCAATAATAATATGTGTTAATAAGTTATGAATCATTTAACTATTAATATTCACATGCTTAGTTAATAAATATTAAATAATAGAATATGTATCCTTTTATTCATTATAGTCATAATAGTGAAGAGTTGTTTTAATAACGTTTTTTATTTTTATAGAATGTATGACTATAAGAAAATAGAAAAATTATATATATTGTATGATTGAAAAAATATAGACAAGTTAGTCATTATTTAATAACATACATCATCATTTAATTAAAGAAGAGATTCTAATGACTAATTTATATGTTAGAAAATGAATAGATAAGTAAAAGTTGGAGAAATTAAAAAAAAAATATAGAGATGTTAAAAATTGAAGAGGGTCTGAAAACTTATTTAATCTTAAAAGAAATTATAAAAACCTATTGAAACAGGTAGTGTTTGGATTCATGTGAAACAAGTTAAGCATTGCGTTGTTGCGTCACTTGCGTGTCAGATAGAAACTTTACAAACGTGGATTTGAGTTAGAAAACCGTTTTTGAGAGTAAAATTTAGTTTGCAATCGGAAATGACTTTTGCGTTACAGATTGACCATGATCTTTGTACGCGAAAGTCAAACTTTAATTCTCATTTACAACTATTAATTTCTAATGCAAATATTTTATTATTAATTTCATCATAAAAAATAATCCTGTAAAAAAAATACAAAATTATTACCAACATAACTATTTCGTTTTAAGTTATTAATGTATACAGTGGATAAATGGTAAGTGATAAATAGTAAATTTAAATTTAATTTAATTCTATAAAATTAATTTATAAAATAAGAATTATTTTTTATTTATCTTTTATGCGGGAGTTTAGTTTTTTTCAATAATCTTTCTCATTTACAGTCCGACACCGAGACTCAACATGCCAGTGGCTTGGATAGCAATCTCCTCCTTTGAACACTTTTTGTAACAAGAACATTTATTATTATTAGTGTTTATAAATGTCAATGCAATTACTAATTAATTACGATACAAAGACTTTTACATAAAAAAAGCATATTTGCCGTTGTGGTAATTAATTGATAATTTCTTTCTTAATTTATATGTTTTTTCTTCTAAATCAATATATTGAATGTGAATATTATTTTTCAAGTTGAAATATTTTTTTAGTTTCAGTAAAATGAATGTGTTTTTATTTTAGTCTATATAATTATTTTTTTATTTTTCACATCTTTAAAATTTAGAATAGTTGTTTTTTCTTTAAAAATGAGCTAATTTTAGTTTTGATCCTTATAATATGTTTTTCTTTAATTTTCATTCCTCTAAAATTTAAAGTCAATAATTTTAGTTTTTGATGTTCATTTTAAGGTAAATAAATAGTATTATTTTAAAAATTTGTAATTTTTTTTAGAAATATCGTATACTAGCATAATATTATATACATTTGTTAGTGTCATTAGAAATAATCACTTGACTATATTATAAACCAAAAGTAGTTAAGAAGGATCACAAAAAAACTAACAATTAAAAACAACAATTTTAATTTTTGAAAGATAAAAAATAAATAAAAAATTATAGGGACTAAAATAAAAAATATCTTATTTTATAAGAATTAAAAGCATATTTAAACATTTTTTTATGTAAAAATTTGATTTTTTTATTTTACCTAATTAATTAGTTTTTTTTCTTATACAAATTAATATATTAAACTAATATTTTAACATGTGCAATACATATAATAAATGTTTGTTATTATATAACTAAAATTCTAATTGTTCTAATTAAATTAAAATTCATAATAAATTATATATATACATTATATTTAAATATATAAATTATATTTAAATTTTGTATAAATAAATAATTTAAACATGTAAGTTATATTTTAAATTTATGATAAATAATTTATATTGTGATACAAAATTATTTTTGAATATTGATGATTTATTTTAAGATTATTAAACTTTAATTATAAATAAATATAATAAATAAAAAAATGAATTAAATAAAAAGTTTTAAAAAACTTATCCTAAAAAAACACTAATAAAAAAAAGTTCCAAAAAAAAATATCATATAAAATAACTCTTCACATTTAATATACACGAATGGATATAAAATGACTTTGATTTGGAAAACTCAAACTTATCTCATTTTAGCTGTTAATTTATTATGTAAATATTTTAATTATTAATTTTATTTAAAAATTATTGCGGGTTAACTATTTATTTGTAAACAATTAATATATATATTAATATAATTAATTTTAATAGAAAGACATTTACAGAAAAGTTTTTATGTAGACATTAAAATTCATTTTTGGTAATTATTCACACAAAAACAATTTTAATTATACGTTTTCTACTAACATTATTTATTAAAAACATTTTTTAAAATGTATTATCTAAAAACATATTGGACTTTTTGAGTTACGTTTCCTTAAAATCAGTTTTATAAATCACAGTGATTGAAAATTAGTTTCATAGACACACATTCAAATATATACAGACATGATTTTGATCAATGGTTCTTAAAATAAATTATTTTAAAAAATTATATATATATATATATATATATAGGTCAAAATAGAGTATCAAATAATTTTTAAAATTTTTGTAAACTTAATATATGTATTAAGAGTTTTTAATTTAACGACAAAATCATTAAAATTTGACATAAAACATAATATGATCTATGCATTAAGTCTAAAAACTTATACAAAATCTTATATCTTTAATAATTTTTTTTCGTATAATACAAATTTAACTGATCTAAATATTGAATCATGTAATGTCATGTTGTATAGCAAGTTTCACATAATTCTAAAATTATTTAATAATTTTCATATTATTTTATTTTAACATATAATATGATATTTAAAATATAAATAAATATTCATTTTTGAATTTAAAAAAAAAATTAAAATCATATAAAATAAATATTTATTAAAAGCAATTCACTGAATCAATTAAATTTATATTATAAAAAATTATTAAATACATAAAAATTGCGTAAATATTTTAACTTATACATGATTCTCAATGTATCATATCTCTCTTTATATATTATTATTAATAAGCACGATGCATTATTTTAAATTATATTTTGTGTTAATTATATATAGATATTTTTGCCTCTATTTGTTACGTTTTATTTTTATTTTATTATGGAATTGTTCACAAAGGACATATAAGGTAATTTAGATGTTAACTTTTTTATATTTCATTTTAATCTTACAATAGTCTAAAATTCCTCAAATTCTCTACTATTTTTATTTATTAATAAAATAAATAGAGATGCAAAACGCTTTTTTTTGTATGCTTTTTTTTTTTGGTAAAATAAGAGATTAAAGTCCAAATAAATAATCATTAAATTGAAAGAAAAACATAATTATCTGCTAATAACAAGTGATAAATAAAAGACGGAGGAGACTCGTAAGCAAAAAAGTCCTCTTCTAAAACCATCATGCGTTTAGTAAGAATGTCCGCAACTAAATTAACTTCTCTTAGAATATGGTAATATGAAAACAAGAAGAATTGATTACTTAGCTCTTTTATCTCTTGAACAAGGTCAAAATATGGGTGAGAACCAAAGCAACCTTCATTAACAAGCCTCACTGCAGTGGAAGAATCCGACTCAATTATCACCTGATGACCCAAATTCCTATTAACTAGAATGCGCAATCCATGTAGAATGGCCCATAGCTCCAATTTAAGGATGGAGCACATACCTAACTTCCCTGTGAATGCCACCACAAACCTGTCATCTGAGTTCTGGATCACTCTTCCACAAGAGGCCACATTCTCTTTAGACACAGCCCCATCACAATTTAGTTTCAGGATACCTTCCAGAGGTTTCATCCAATTGAGTCTAAAGCTATAATTAACTTCCCCAACTTGTGATTGTTGATTAAGACCATATGTGGTAGCAGATATCATTCGAGCATTTATTTCAGTTACTACTTGATTAGTTGTGATGGATTGGCCTTGAAAAATGGCTTTGTTTCGGCGGTGCCATAATGAATCCAACGTAATAGCAAATCTATAGTTCCATCCAAGAGGGGAACGATTAGAGTTTGATAAGTTCTTCAACAAACAGGGTTGCAAATTATCTTGATCCGCAAGCATCTAAGATGAATCTCTACACGACTTGGACCACACTTCTTGGGCAAATCTGCAATCCCTGAGCACATGTAGACTATCTTCCTCACCCTTTAAGCAGATACTGCACAATGGATTCATTGTCATTCTACGTTGAGCACCACAAGAGTTTGTCAATAAACTTTCATGTGCTACTCTCCATAGGAATACACAAACCCTTTTAGGGCCCTTCCACTTCCAAATAGTTTTAAACAAGGGGGATCTAGGGGGAAGGGAAAGATTTGCAGCAACACCATAAGTTGATTTAATTGTAAACTCTCCATCCAAGGTCTGATTCCAAATCACCCTATCCATTCCAGCATCATCTGATGGCGGAGATTGACTATGAATAGCTATCCATAACTCATGAGGGATCCATGACTCAATCTGCGAAAGCTCCCATTCCCCTTGCTCGTTTGTGTATTCTTTGACTGATTTGAATAGGTCAACTAGGGGAATATCCACCAAGACTTTTTGAAGAAGAGATTTTCTAGATAGCCAATTATCTAACCAATTGTTAACTCTTCGACCATTACCTACTCTCCACCGCACCTGATGGATCACCAAATTCCACGAATCACATATACCTTGACATAAGTTAGACATTTTGGGTCTCCTCTCGACTTTTGGGATAATGTCATTTAAACATTTATACTTAGCTTTGATAACCTTCACCCATAGTTTGTGAGGCTCTATTATCAAACTCCAACAATTTTTCATCATGAATGATGTATTGACATCACGCATCCGTCTCAAACCAAGCCCCCCATGTTCCTTTGGTAGACATCATTTCTGCCACCCAATGGCATGATGTCTCCTGTGATCTACATTATCTCCCCACAGGAAGTTACGACATATACGGTCAGCCTCATCACACAACAAACGAGGGAGCTGAGCAATTTGCATTGTATAAGAAGGGAGCGCTGCTTGAACTGATTTGGTAAGTGTAAGCCTCCCTGCAACGCTTTTGATATTTCATTTTAAACTTATAATTGTCTAAAATCGCTCAAAAATTTCTATTACTTTTTATCTTTTTATTTTTTTTAACAAAAAATACATAAAAACACAAAAATATTTATTTTATGCTAATAATAAATAATAACTTTTGAATATATGTAATTATATTATAATAATTAAAATTTTAACAAATAAATATTATTGATCATATAAATCATCATATTTATATTAATATAGAATTATTTTTATCTATTTATTTAAAATATTAATATTCAGTTTTAAAATATTAAAAAAATAGGCTAAAATAAATAAGAGGTTAATAATTTTTAAAAACATTATCGTAAAAAATTTAAAACGTTATTGTTTAGAATGAATTTTAATGTAAAAATAATCTTTAAAACACTTTAATTATTTTAGTTTATATGTATATAGAAAATTAATTTAAATAAAAAAAAAATTGTGATTTTTTTTTTAATCATTATACGATGAAAGTAATAAAAAAAAAGAAAAGAGAGAATAGTGCAAAATTAAAAAGGCATGGGGGCATTTGTGCAGAAAAGAGAAAATGATAATATATATATGTATGCTTATGCAATTTCTGAGATCCGCATCTTTGTCTTGGTCAACACCAAAAATATCTGCAACTCTCTCTGCTCTGCTTAGGGTTCCAACCCAACCCTCATTCTCATGCAAGGTGATCCTTCATTTCCCGATTCATTCAATTCCCATCTTCTGTTCTCATGTTTCGTCTCGGTTTTTCATTCAAAATTGTTCCTTTCTCTTCTTTTCTTCTTGTAGGGTAAACCGAGATCTGAGATCTTGAACCCAAATTCAAGGTTTTGATCCGTTATTGCTCTCGGTTCTGTGTGATTCTCGCTAACCAATCAGTTTTGAAGCTCTTTCTGTTCTACAAAGTAAGCTTCTTCATCTCCTTTTTTGCACCCCATTTTTTCCCCCATTAATTAGATTCAATCCTTTTTTTTTTTTTTTTTTTTTTTTTTTTTTTGTTTTTTT